GTTGTAAGCCGCCCTGAGTCCCCTCAGGGAAAAGGGCGGCCTATAAATAAATTTATCTACAATCTACAATCTATCTTGTCGCCTAAAAGGGCTTGTGATTTTGTGACACTGCGGTGGGCGCCCTCTCCTTCAAAGTTGAGGCGTCTATGAGTTAATTAATTATGAGGTCCTAACTACCAGCTTGCCGTGGAGCCGTTTGGGGTTAACTTTCTCTTCTGGTCATCAAAGAGAGGTGTGGTTGATTCTAAAACTACCTTCTGCCACAAGGTCAATTAGGCGATGTTTAATCATGGCTTATTGAGAGGCTGAGCTCAGAGAACAGGGCCTCCACCATCCGACGCAAATGTGATTGTGGGGTCCTTTGACCCAGATATCCCACTTTACCCCACCTAAGAGGCTGGAACTTTTTTTTCTAACCCAGATGAAGTCATATCTGTTTGTGCAATAAACTGAAATAGAAAAACCCCAATGCAACACCCCCACCTAGTGGCCAAATGGAGTACTGAAACCCGCATCAAAAGCTGTAAACGCTGCTATTTTCTCTCCTGTGAAAAGAAGGGCTGGACGAGAATAAAACGTTTCAAAGGCAACACTGGAGTTTGTGGGGGAGAAAAATCAACATCCTTGACACAGGATGAATTGAATTCCAAATCCAAGCCAGGTATCCCTTGACCCGTTGTTCTCCTTTGTTTCTCTCTGTGTGTGTTCTTTCTCTCCCTTCCTCGTCTTTCTTTCTTCCCTCTTTCTCTTCTTTCTTTTCCTTCTCTCTCTCCTCTCACTTCTCTCTCCCTCCTCTCTTCTCCCTCTCATTTCTTTCACTTCTCTCCTTCATTTCTCTCTTGTTCTCTTTTCTCTCCTCTCATTTCTCTTTTCTCTCCCTTTCACTTCCTTCTCTTCTCTCCCTTTCTTTTCCTTCTTTCTCACCTCTTCCTTTCTCTCTTCTCCTCCCTTTTCTTTCACTCCTCTCCCTGCTTTCTTTCCTCTCCCTCCTCTCTTCCCTCTCTCACTTCTCTCCCTCCTCAATTCCCTCTCTCACTTCTCTCCCTCCTTTCTCTCCTCTTTCTCTCTTCTCTCTCCCTACTGTCATCTCTTCTTTTCTCTTTTCCTTCTCTATCTCTCACCTCTTCCTCCTCTCTCTTTTCTCTCTTTCTCTCTCTCTCCACTATTGGGACCAGAATTTTCGTTGCTAAGCAATTTTACCACTAATGTGCCATGTTGTTAAGTGAAACTGTTATACATCTATGCCAAGTGTTGCCAAGTGTTGCCAAGTGTCCAAATGTTGATCACATGACTGTGGGGATGGCTGCTAGTGACGTAAGTGTGAGGACCAGTCATAAGTCGGGGACTAGCTGTATATTTTGAGATTTCTGGTAACTCCTCATGGACTTTTTGCTGCAAGGATGACCATTTCTGGATTGCACATAGATAAAACTCAGACTAAGTGGAGGTGGTTTCATTTTAATTTATTTGCAATTTTAAAAGAGGTGAAAAGTTACTGTATATTAGCTGGTCTTCAGTGCGATGAAGGTGGAAACTTGATTTATTTTTATTATTCTCTTCGTTGCCTTTCTGTCATCGTTTTTCTTTTTCTGCACCTTCTAAAGGTTTGTTTTACTAGTTTACGCTGTATTAGTCTTTGTTATGTTTTTTTTAAAAAGGTGAATAAAATTATTTTCTTCTTTTTTAAAAAAAAAAAAAAAAAAGAGGAGGTGCTTGCTGAAAAAGGCAGAATAGAACTTTGGGGGTGCCGAGGTCTCCCCTGGAAGGAGATTCATGGGTTTCACAGCAAAAATGTTTGTTCCCTGGGCAAAGACACACACACACATGCATACACCCCCCCTGCCCCAATGTCTATTTCCAGCTGGTCTGTCTGAATGTTTTGCTGGTGTTTATAAATACTGATAGATTGTCGGTGAAAGCTAAGATAGGTTTCCAGGCCCAGACCAACCAGGAACGGATCATCTGCATCCACAAATTTGCACTTGATTTTTGTCTTCGGGTGCTGCGCGGAGCCAGAATTGAACGACTGTTTGTGCAGCTGTGCACGAAGAAGCGCTCGCGTCAAAAAGGGAGGGAGGCTACAATTAAAAGGATCTTTTACAGACACAACAATCAGACAGCTCCGTGAACGGCCCCATAGGTAGAATGGCCTTGCAAGAAAAGGACCCAGAGAGGCTGCCAAGGGGGTGGTCAGATAAGGGACTGCTGAGCTCTCAGCTGCATAACGGGTGGAGGATGAGGATTTATAAGGAACCCTCCCTAGTTTCTCATCCTGTAAAGGGGACGGCTGTAATAGTATGTGGGAAAGATGTAGCGATAAAAGATGTATAGATGACCAGGCTGAATCTGAGGGAGAGGGGGCAAACACGTCATCAGTCATGAGTCCCTGCTTGCCCAAAAGAGATGTAAGTCCAGCCTGTCTTGAATTCCTTTCTTAACTTCCCCTTGACTGTTAGTAGCTCAGATTCTTGTAGAGAGCTTAAGCTTGCAATAAATCCTTATGCTCATTTGAACTTGCCTTAACCTCCCCCTTTTCCGGGCGCTTGGGAAGATGCCACCCAAGGGAAAAGTTAGATCATTAGCCTGCTTAGCCCACAGATGCGGGAGAAAGATGCTCAGAAGGGGTCCTCCCAAATTTCTCAGGGTGCAAAGGAGGGAGAATTGTGCTTTCAGACTTGCAAGGTTGTGTTGATGTAGCCTGACAAGAAAGAATTAACTCGGTGTGGTTGTGTGGTGCTGTCTGTTTTATACGGTAAGGCTGACGAGGGTGGGTGATTCCCCTTTAAGAAGGATCAAAGGACTTTCTGGGGAGGAGAAGCTGGAAATGATCCAGCAAAGGGGGGAGGAGGGGGGTTTGCAGTCTTTGTTTGGCCACTTCAAGGCTTCTCCATCAGTCCTCCAACTCCAATGTTGCCATTGAGGTCCTTCAACTCTTGGCATGAGAAAAAGACAACCTGGAGTAAGCTGTCTGCTTGGGGAAGGGGGTCCCCGATGCCTTCTCATAGGCCACACAGTCTTGTAAGTCATCAGTTCCCTTTCACTCCCCATCGGTTCCCTTTCGTTCCCCTCCCCTCTGCGAGTAAGCAGGCTCGATGAAGAAAGATCTTGAGATATCCTTCGCAAGGAGGAGCTGAGGCTAGTAGTAATATCAGTAATATCAGGTATTACTGCTATCATGAGCTGTGATTGTTGGGTCCTCCTGCAGAAGTGGGCTTGTTTCCGTGGCTTCCAGAGGATCGGGAGTTTGCAAAGTCCTTGTCGCCGCCTTTCTCTGAAAAGAAGACAGATGTTAGTTAGAATGTGCCATGTTCTGAACTAGGCTTCCCTAAAAAGCACGAGGCAGAGTCCTGGTCCCGACAAAACCCCTTTTATTAAACAAACGTGAATTCCTCTCATTCACATTCAGCAAGGCCTGG